GGGCGGATATGAATAGATGTGGCAGAGGAGAGGAGAGCAGTGGAAATCTATGGGCTGGTCCTTGGGACGGAAGAGCCACCGCTGCTAGCAAAGCCCCACCCTAACTCTGGAAATAAAAGGCAGGGGGCGGATATGAATAGATGTGGCAGAGGAGAGGAGAGCAGTGGAAATCTATGGGCTGGTCCTTGGGACGGAAGAGCCACCGCTGCTAGTGAAGTCCAACCGTAGCTCTGGGGATAAAAGGCAGGGGGCGGAGATGAATAGGTGTGGCAGAGGAGAGGAGAGCATTGGAAATCTATGGGCTGGTCCTCGGGACGGAAGAGCCACTGCTGCTAGTGAATCCCCACCCTAACTCTGGGGATACAAGGCAGGGGGCAGAGATGAATAGATGGGGCAGAGGAGAGGAGAGCAGTGGAAATCTATGGGCCGGTCCTTGGGACAGAAGAACCACTGCTGCTAGTGAATCCCCACTCTATCTCTGGGAATAAAAGGCAGGGGGCGGAGATGAATAGATGTGGCAGAGGAGAGGAGAGCAGTGGAAATCTATGGGCTGGTCCTTGGGACGGAAGAGCCACCGTCGCTAGCAAAGCCCCACTCTAACTCTGGGGATCAAAGGCAGGGGGCGGAGATGAATAGATGGGGCAGACAACGATTCATCTTATGGACGGACAGACTTGTTAGCCGGCATTGAGAGAGAAACGTTTTCCTGGGGCTGCCGGCGCCTCCAATTTAAGGAATCTTTGAGTTCAGAGGGTGTTTGGGGAGCTGGCTCAGAGCAGGGGGGAGGTACAATAAGCAAAGGTAGAACGCGGCTACATTGGGGGCTGCAGGATTACCTTCACGGACAGGCCCTCTTTCTGTCCACGTCGCATCACCAACTCCTTGGCGTATTGGTCCTCGACCGAGGTGCGTAACTCCGCAAAGGCTAGGAAGGTGGACTCCGAAGGCAGGTAGAGCAGAGCGGGGATGCGGTAAGTGACGTCCCTCTCCTGGCGGAAGAGGGTCACCCTCTCAGAGACGCCCAAAGTCTCCGCCATCTTCTCTGGAGACGGGAAAATTCCAGGAGGGGGAAGGAAAAAAAGAGACGTCAAATCAAGCCAACATTTCTAATCTTCCGCAATGGATTTTTCAGCTCATCTGAATGCGCTTAGGATAGGTGGACTTCAACTCCCAGGATTCCGCAGCCGAGGGAATTCTGGGAGCTGAAGTCCACCCAGTTTAACTTCAAGTCTGATGATGAAAATATATATATCAGTGGTGGGTTGCTCTCCCTGTCACTACCGGTACGGTGCTCACGGGGCCGTGCGTCCTGTCGTGCACATCTGCACTCCACTGCCTGTGCGACGCCCAGTTGCTTGTTGAAGGTTGCGCAGGTGCCACACACTGTGCGCGCGTGCGCAATTGTCTGGTTGCTTTAAAAACCAGTATAGAACACGGGCAGGCCAAACCAGTTACTGTACCGGTACACTGTCATCTGCTCCCAGCTACTAAAGGTACGGCCGTCCATATCTATCTATCTGTCTTTCTATCTGTCTTTCTATCTGTCTTTCTATCTGTCTTTCTATCTATCTATCTATCTATCTATCTATCTATCTATCTATCTAT